AAACCATTTCAGGTGACTACCTCTTGAAGCTCATGGAGAGAATGCCAAGAGTGTGCAAAGCAGTAATCAGAGCAAAGGGTGGCTATTTTGAAGAAACTAGAATATAAAACATGTTTTCAGTTATTTCACCTTTTTTTGTTAAGTACATAACTCCACATGTGTTCATTCATAGTTTTGATGCCTTCAGTGAGAATCTACAATGTAAATAGTCATGAAAATAAAGAAAACGCATTGAATGAGAAGGTGTGTCCAAACTTTTGGCCTGTACTGTATATATATATATATGTTTTTTTTGTTTTTTGTTTTTTTTTTACTGTAACCGAAACACATCACAGGAGCGGGATGGGACGGGAGTCATTCTTGTGGGAGTGGGATGGGATGGGACGGAAAATCCACTCCCGTGTCACCCTCTAGTTCAGATGCTGGTGCCTTGAGACTGTTTAACTGCCTCCGTGGGCTGTGTCTTACAGCTGTGGCTCCAGCTGTTCACCATGTTGATAAGCAGGCAAAATCAACAGCCAAACTACAATAAATTACTCCCAGGGCTGTGTACAGACTAATAGAGAGGCAGGGGCTCAAAGACAGAAAAGGACACTGGGTCTAGCACAATACAGTATCTAATATAAATTGATAAAGTAGGCTACTAGTCATAAATAGCTAGCTAACAACCTAGCTGCATACCCTAGTATGTAGCTTTTTAAATCTTTGTGCAAAGAAATTAGCACCAACAGATTAGTTTAAAGGGCCAGTCAGCAGTTTCTGGCGGCATCTAGTGGTGAAAATAAAATGTTCTTAAATTTGACCAGACTGCTGAGACTTTGAGACCCAGTGCTTGGACAAATAGAGCTACCTGCTCAGAAAGATCCGACGGTAGAGATAGAGCTATCAGAATGTGTTACTACCTCTATAAATGGGGTTAAAATATGTTTGAGGAATGTTTTTCCTCATTCATAGATCGTTCTCAGTTGTAGTTCTGTATGTCTATATGTCAGAACACCTTTAAAGAACCTTTGATAGAAAGGCAACAGTAACTAAAAAACAACCAAGGTCTGCAGAAGACCATCTCTGAACCAACAACACATCAAACCTTGAAGCAGATGCAGCAGATACCACACCAGGTGCCACTCCTGTCAGCTAACAACAGGAAACCGAGGCTACAGTTCACACAGGCTCACCAAAACTGGACAATAGAAGATTAGAAAACATTGTCTGGTCTGATGAGTCTTGATTTCTGCTGCCACATTCAGATGGTAGGGTCAGACTTCAATCAATCAATCAATCAATCAATCAAACTTTATTTGTATAGCACTTTTCATACATTAAAAATGCAGCACAAAGTGCTTCACAGAATAAAAACAAACAAAAATAATACATACATATTGAAAACCCGCCCCTCCCACCCCCACATATAAACACACACACACAGTGTGTGTGACTTTGAAGCTTTGAAAACCCGCCCCTCCCACCCCCACATACAAACACACACACACAGTGTGTGTGACTTTGAAGCTAAAATTCACTTAAACATTCCAGCTTTACTCAATCAGCCCATTTTAAAACCAGTATGCTGTAGTAGAGCCAGAATAACACATACTTGGCTTGTGTGCTTTTGTCTTAATAATAATAATAATAATAATAATAATAATAATAATAATAACAACAATAATAATAATAATAGTAAAAAAAAACAGGATCCTTTGTGAGATTTTATCTTTTAACCTAAGGCCTCATGAAAGTTAATAAAAATAAACAACAAAGAAACTCACACAATCAAAGAAGCAGTTTCCTCATTTTATCTGTGTTGTTGTGCACATTAAGAAGTGACCACACCCTGCTTTCAACACCAACTCCACTGACACTGCCTCTACAAAAGCAAAAGGGGGCTTTCTTTGTAGATCTGCCTACATTTTGTTGCCCCTACAGTTCATGTCTCAACGTTCTGACCTCCAGGGTAGCAGATACAAACAGCCGTGATCTGCCAGATAGCAAAATCAGGTAAGAATCTGACAACGCTAAATTAAATTGCTGAAATTAATAAAATAAATTTACTTTAAATAATGTAGAATATCCAATAAATGTGGGCTCAGTACATTTGTTTAGAATATTGTATTTGGGAGTTCATTTTGGAGTTTCTGATGTGCTGCTGGGATTTTTGGGGGTTATTTTGGTGTGATAAAGGTTAGGGTTTCTCTGTTATTGGCAGCCTTATTTCATAAGAGACAAAGAAACCTCTGAGCAGCAGTTTATTAAAAAGTGAAGATATCAGCAAGCATTTCTAAAAGGAATTGAAACCTCAGCATCAAAATGTATGCAGATTTCAGTAGGAACAGCAACAACTTAAAACTTCTCAATAGAAATATAAAATTAACCATGGGTTATTACTGTTAGAAATGGATAAGGCAGTGTCAGCTGAACGTGGACTGACAAATCACAGTTTAACCCTTTAAAACCTGGAGCACCGTCACTTTTCTAGTGTTGCTTTCAGACACCTTCCACAAGTATTTCTGATACCTGAGCAAATTCTTTTAAAAAAAAAAAAAAATCAAAAGGCACTCAGCAGTTTGGCATAACATATCCTGCAAACTGCAAGAAAGTATTAAAAGATGTCAAGAAGTTGGCTGAGAGAGAGAAAGAAAACTAGGGTAAAATAAAAAAGTTATCATATTTATACATTTAAAATAAGGTTACAGAGGGTCATTTTCTGTTTTCGTTGTTTTACTTTTTTGTAACTTTTTACGAATATCATGCTAATATTTGGGTCATTTCTTGTTTTAAAAAACATCAATTGGCTTAGGTTTCAAACGGTTAAAACTGTTTAAAACCAAGGGAATTTTTCCCCAAAAATATTTAGAGCACAACTGCACCTTTACGGCTCAGTAATGGTCGAGGGTCATCCGAGCTTTTCTGGACTGGAAAATAAAATTTAAATCAAAGGGTATTTGAGGAGGAACAAGATTCAATCAGTATTATCTGTGAGGACAAATCATTTAATTATTTTTTTCTTTTGGGGCCCAAACTGCGTCTGATGTAAATGAGTCGTTTGGTGTCTGTATTATATATTTTAATTTCTGTTAAATGAAAGAAGAAAAGCGTCAATATAACAAGTGAAATATCTGAATGGTAGTGTAACCGTGTACTGTATATTGTATAGAATAATGCTAATATTTGTCATATAAATACACTATCAAGTTCTGTTTTGCAGTTATATTGTAATTTGCAACTGTTTTTTCTTTTCATTTTAACATCCCACAGTGTTTTACACCAACGACACCTCAGAGAACTATATGGACCAAAACAGTAAGATGATGATATTCTGCCTGTTTCTGGCAGGTAAGATAATTAGTCACGATGTTCGGACTTCGCTTTGTTTCACTCTTTTCATCTGAAACGGGCCCCACTCTCCCAAGAGTCCCAGACTGACACGCAAAAATATATATAGACTCTTTCAAACTTGACAACATAAACATTATACATGGGTCAAAGTGTATGAATATTTGTTAACTCAGTAGTTGACAGGAAGTAAACACGGATCAGTGGAACATGAAAAGTTGTGGCAAATTCACAAGAGTGAAACTCTGATGTCCGAGTGTTACATGTTGAAAAATGTACGTTAACACATAGCTTATAATTTAATGACCTATCATGGCAAATTTTGATGCTATGGACTTGGTAAAAGTGTCTGAAAATTTGGGAATAAAACACTTAATTGATTTCTAATGACATCTATTGGTATCTCTATTCAATGCTTTACTCGTGTGCAACAATAATGTAATGTTTTTGGATTAAAATATGTTAATTTTGGGGCTTTGCCAAGCAAGTATTGACATATATGTGACTGCTTAAATTTGCATATACAGTATATATTTCTTTCACCCCTTAAAGTCTCCATGCCAGTGCCCTCATAAACAAGCAACACTGTGTTAAGGGCCCCACATGAGCTGTTAACACGGATCCACAGATGCTCTTGCCCACCCCTGTTAGTCACCTCTTTGTATCCAGTCTCATTCTAACATACACCCTACCTAAAAAATCTATCAAGGAGAAGTCATATCATTCTTTGTCACTTCCATCACTTTCTTTCAGCTCTCAGCAGTCCTGTGTTCGCTGAAGAATGGAAGGCGAATGTTGTAAAAAGTCTCGACGCTCTGGTCAGTTCCTGCATTGTGGTGCCGTGTTCATTCACCCATCCTAAAGGAAACCTGCCCACCTCCAGACTCAGAGGGATCTGGCATCGTTCAAATGATCGAAATGAACGCATCTATTACGAGGATCAAACGCAGGTTTTGGAAAACTTCAGGGGCCGCACACGGTTGTTGGGACATCTGGGTCAGAGCAACTGCACCTTAGAAATGATGGACGTTAAAGATCATGACAATGGCCCTTTCTGCTTCCGGATAGAACAGGCACTGACAGAGACAAAAACCGACGACAAGTTCTCCTTTGTGGAGGATTGTGTCAAGTTCAGAATGCTCCGTATGTCATCAACTTTCCAAAATTTCATAAACCTCCGCCAATTTTCGTTGTAGAAACAGGATTTATCTCTTTCTTATTATCTGCATTTTCCTTTATTTTCCATTTGTAGCTGATCCTCCAAAACCTACACTGACTCACCCAAAGACAGCCATTGAAGGACATCCCTACACTGTCACCTGCTCGGTCACCCATACCTGCCCCTCCCATGTGCCTAAACTCACATGGAATAGAGGCACTGCCAATGACGCAACTGAGGTCCACAAAGAAACTCACCCTGGCAACTGGGAGGCACAGTCCATCCTGACCATCATTCCCAAGGAGAAGGACGACCACACTGAGATCAAATGCAAAGCACAATTTAATGGAGGGAAGACGTCCTTTACAACACTGACACTCTATGTGAAACGTGAGATCATTTTCACTTTGTTGCTGAATTTTGAGGATGTTCTTAATATGTCCCCTTCCCATTATGTGTAATATAAAAGGAACTATGTCCTTTATATGTGGCTCCGTCTGTTTGCAGGTACAGAAAACTACAACCACATCATCATTCCCACAGTGGCGGCGATTGGCACAGCTGTGATCTTTGCAGTCTTCTGCATTCTCATGGCGAAGAAATACAAGTGAGTTCAATACAGACTTACACTACAAACTCCAGATTGCTAGGGATCTCCTATGTGATTCTCTTCTAACATATCAGCAGGCTGTTAAAGCTGCTAAAACTGAATATTTTTCCTCACTTGTTTCCACAAATGCTCACAAGCCTCAGGTGCTTTTAATGTATTTAACTCACTGGTGAATCCTTGTGATCCTGTCTGTATTGAGCCTTCTTCTTCTCTGTGCGAGGATTTTCTGCAAATTTTTATTGATAAGATTTCTGCTCGTAGATCCCCACTCCCTCAGTCTGCTCAGGTCCCCTTAGTTCCCACAGCAAGCTCAGCTGTTTTTCACCAGTTTGAGCCAGTTTCACTCTCTCAACTCACTGAAGTAGTTGAACACTTACGCCCTGCTAACTGCCCAACTGACAGCATTTCATCCCGTTTGTTTAAAGAGGTTTTCAGTTCAGTTGAGTCTTTTATTTTAAAACTTATAAATATGTGTCTCAGCTCTGGATGTGTTCCATCCTCCGCCAATTTCCAAACCTCCTTTTATATCCAAGGTTTTAGAGAAAGTCGTTTTCAACCAAATCCAAGAATTTTTAAAAGGGGCCAGCGTTTGTGGACGGTTTCAGTCTGGTTTTTGGTTTCAGTTCTGGACCTGGCAGAGGTGTTTGACAGACTGGATCACACAATTCTCCTGTCACGCCTAGAGCATTGTGTAGGTATAAAAGGCACTGTTTTAAGTTGGTTTAAATCGTACCTCTCGGACAGATCCTTTTCTGTTCTTATGGGGCAGTTTTTCTCCTCAGTGGCCCCTCTGACCTGCGGGGTCCCCCTGGGGTCAGTTCTGGGCCCCCTATTGTTTTCCCTTTATGTGCGACCCCTGGGGTCTATATTTAGGAAGCATGGTATTCCCTTTCACTGCTTTGCTGATGACGTGCAGGTATATTTGCCGTTTAAGATTCCTTCCAAAGATTCCCTTCAGGCCGTGCTAAACTGCGTAAGTGACATGAAAACATGGATGGATTTAAACTTCTTAAAATTGATTGAAAACAAAACAGAGGTTGTCCTGTTCGGTCGCCCTGATCTGGTTCAGGTCCTTGCCAGCTCCCTGGGCCCACTAGCACCTTACATGGGATCCCATGCTAGAAATCTTGGTGTGATTATTGATGGTGCTTTTAAGCTAGATGAACAGGTCAACTCAATAGACTTGACTATTGAGTTGACCTGTTCGTTGTCACTAACCCTAACCAGATCAGGGCGACCAAACAAGACAACCTCTGTTTTGTTTTCATTCAATTTTAAGAAGTTTAAATCCATCCATGTTTTCATGTCACTCACGCAGTTTAGCACGGCCTGAAGGGAATCTTTGGAAGGAATCTTAAACGGCAAATACACCTGCACGTCATCAGCAAAGCAGTGAAAGGGAATACCATGCTTCCTAAATATAGACCCCAGGGGTCGCATATAAAGGGAGAACAATAGTTAAACCCTATCTAAACCAGAAAGACCTCGAAAAAGTTATCCATGCTTTTATTACCTCTCACTTAGATTATTACAACTCCCTGTATGTCGGCATTGAGCAGTCAGAGCTTAACCGCCTGCAGCTGGTTCAAAATGCAGCAGCTTGTCTCTTAACTGGGACAAAGAAACGCGAGTATATAACTCCGGTGCTCTCTTCACTTCACTGACTTCCAGTTAGGTACAGAGTTGATTTTAAGATTCTTTTATTTGTTTTTAAGTCTCTGAATGGGCTGGCTCCGGAATACCTATCTGACCTTATTAAGTTGCATCAGCCCTCCAGAGCCCTCAGATCAGCGAATCAGATGGTCTTGGATGTTCCTCGATCACTCTTAAAAACTAACGGAGATCGAGCCTTTGCAGTCGCGGCTCCCACTCTGTGGAACACATTACTGTTGACTGAGCGGACTGTGAATAGCCTCTCCACTTTTAAATCACTGCTTAAGACTCACTTGTCACCTCTACTGGGTCTTTTACCTTTGGTATATTTCACTGTATAAATGTTTTTTGTGTTTTGTTTTTTTTTTTGCTTATTTTAACTGTAAAGCACTTTGGTTGGCCGTTGGCTGTTTTAAAGGTGTTATATAAATAAAGCTGACATTGACATTGACAATAACATGAGCAGTTATTGACATTTACACAGAGGGGGTGTATTTACTCTCACCCCTTTTTTATTTATAAGTTTTTTCCTGTGCTCCTCAATGAAGTGACCTTTTTTTCTGTCTCTTCAAGGACACGTATTGCAGAGCTCCAAAATCAAGAAGGCAGGTAAGGAGAAGATCAGATCCAGTTTGTAGTGCTACTGTGATTTTCATTTCCTTCACTCTATTGAAAGTGTGATTAATGTATTTATTTATTTATCTATTGGTCACACAGTGTGTGGAACCGGATTTCCAGACTGTCTCGCAGGTGAGAAAACCTTATGATTTTTATGAAAATGGGTGCATGAGATACTACAGATACACATTTTGTAACTAATATGCCTGGAATCTGTAAGGGTAGAAGAGTACAGCTTGTAAGGGATTACATTTTCAAAGAGCAGTAAACAGCTGAAATATAAGCAGGACAGTGTGAATAAAGTCATGAGGTATTTTAAGGACTTTTATCTTTAGATATTCTAATTTGGCGACTAGTTCCATACTGCTCAAACGGTAAACATTCACACATCAATGCATCATTGGTCTTACAGTCATCTCCCATATCTCTGCAGAAGTAACATCTTTATTTTTGTTTCTGCTTTTTGATAAGATCTCTGAAAAATAACACTTTGTTATTTTCTGTTCTTCTTTTTCTTCGGTGTAATCAGGAGCAGAATCTCAAGGTGAGAACTGAAAGTTGAGTTGGTGTCATTGGGTGTGATGTTCTCACAGTTGAATCAAAATTAACTCCAACATGCTTTTTTTAAAAAAAAAAAAAAAAAAAAAAAAAAAAAAAGAATATAAAGCTACATTAATACACTCCTGACCACAGGGGGGGCAGAAGAAATCAAAAAACAATCTTGCTCACACACAGCAGCACAGAGCAATATTAGTGTACCATGTCTTTTGGATGATTTTAAACACTTTAAAAGGAAACTTAGGTATTTTTAACCTGGAACTTATTTTCCCATATTTTTGTGTCTGCGTGACAACAGTGGTGAAAAAGGCTGCAGTCTAATCCCTGGGCGATTGTGCAAAGTTAATTTACCTCCAATAAAAGTGCTTGCTTTTGCTGCTGCCGTGCTCATATTATTAGAAGTGTCTGACAACTACAAAAAAGACCCTACAGAGAAATAAAATGTTCTTCCTTCAAAGGTCAAAGTCAACAATGAGCTCTGTGTTTCTCTGTTTATACAGGAGAGCTTATTTGCAGCTTGTTGCCTGGTTTACTTGAGATAGCACCAAAATGTGGAAGTGGTGTCTTTCAAATTTGTTCGGGAAACGTTTTTCTTAGAAATGTGGTCAAATCGTGCAGATTGCACTTCCTCCAGGCTGACTGCATTGCATCCTGTGAGCATTTACGCTTTTGCATTAACATGTGTTTTATCCTCATCTAGAGCAAAGATATCCATATTTAGATCAAGTGTAAAAGGGGTGTATTTCTTGATTTACTCCTGAGAGAAACGTGATTGTCCTTACCTACTAACTATTCTGCGTTTGTGGTCTAAAAGGAGCTAAAACCTTTACTGTCCCACAAAGTAGGAAATTTGTCTTGGGCTCTACACCCATGCTGCAGCCATAAATATACAACATACAACACAGTACATAAACAAATCAGTATTATACACCAAACGTAGCAATAACAGAAAACCACAAAAAGATGAATAAATAGCATTAAACGCTAAAAATACCTCTACAACAATGCAAATCATCAAATCCTCATAATCCAGTGCCAGTTCTGGCTTTATCTAAAATTATTTAACAGCTTTATAGACAGAGGTATGAACAAATTTTTAAATCTGTTCAATCCACAACGAGGCACTTAATCTCCTTCCAGAGGGCAGCGGCTTGTACTCTGTATGCAGAACATGAGAGGAATCAATGATGCTCTTATTGGCTTGACGTAGAGTTTGAAAATAGTCTGCATGGAAATGTGCTCTTTGACACCAATTATTTTCCACACACTATGGATTAACTGGAACAGTTTGTGTTTTAACTGCCTGATCAAAAATGATCATACATTTTTGATCAACACCATAAACTCTCGGACAACGTAAGAAATGCAGCCATTGTTGTAATCTACTACAGAGACTATCAACATGTGTTCTCTAGGTTAGGTAGCTGTCAACAAAGACACAGATATTTATATGATGGGACATGAGCGATGGGTTGGTTGTGAATGACCACTGGCCTGTGGTCGCCGACTGCCCTTGGGTCAAACACCACNAAGACACAGATATTTATATGATGGGACATGAGCGATGGGTTGGTTGTGAATGACCACTGGCCTGTGGTCGCCGACTGCCCTTGGGTCAAACACCATCTCCTCTGTCTTAGCGGCATTCAACATGAGGTGGTTGTCCTCACACCATTTCACAAACCTTCGAATCTCCAAAAAGTAGTAATGAGATTGCAGTGCTGTTTGTTGGGATAAAACTTCTTCTCTCATCACTAAGCTGCAGAGTTAAAGCCCAACTTGCAGGTTGGAGACCATAGTGAATAAATGTGTAGGAAAATGATGTAGAAACTTGATTAAAACAAAAAACAAAAACACATACACACTACAGTGACTTTTGGGATCGTTTTTTGAGAGAATTTTGCTTCTGCATCTAAAAAACCCACTAACCAGAAGTGACGTAGCATAAGGGAGTCCGGCCAAGTTCGATTGAGTGTAACATTAATAAACATGGATCCCAGTACTAGTTTTGAGACTGAAGAGGTTGAAAATGTACATTCATATGCATATGACGGCCCACAGGCTTATAATTATGAGCCTGCTAGGCGTCCAAGAGACCAGGAACAGATCAGGGTTAGGAGAAATAACAGCCACAGGAGAGAAATAGAGCTGTGGTGTGAGGAGAACCAGTGGAGAACTGGGCAGGTGTCTTGGTGAGCGACCAACGTTAGCTAACGACAGCTAACGATGTCTAACGCTGTGTTCACATCACAACATTAAGTTTGCCATCACGTATTAGGTTATAACAAAGCTACCAATAGTTCTGCCAGTATTAGATAACTAATGCTACTTACCCATAACAGAAACTAATGCGCAAATGTCAGCTTGTATCACACGTATCTTGCTATGTGTGTTATAACTCCGCATTACAGTGTATTGACGTCCGCAGGGGAGAGAGAGAGAGAGAGTTATGAAGATTTCCTGATAATGTTTTGTATGATAGGTGCTTGTGTGGGAACTGCCAGTCCATGTCCTCAGCTGTGGAGAGTATGTGCTGCAGGGAGGTGGATGCCTTCTGGGCTCTGGTGGAGAATCTGACCCCCAGGCCAGGAACATAATCCTCCTGTCCAAAATGAGCACTGCACACACCGCGTTTTTGGTCACAGATGAAGCTGTGAAATCGCGCCTCTTCACCTGCACAAAACACACCCAGGCACGAAAACTAACTAACCTAATCACAAATGATGAAATGCACTGTTAACAACCGAAAAAATACTAACTCACAAGTTTACTACCGCTCAGACTCACTACCACCTACTACTGCGCACTGGACAGAGGCAGGGTCAAGGACGCAGAGTTCCTTTTTCCTCTGAATTTGTGCCCTTATGTCATGTAAACCATAATAAATTCTGAATTAACTTCTCATATGGGAATTTTCAGACAAGGTTATGTATGTATTTTTAAAAAAATTTAACCTGCAAGTTGCACTTTAAAGGTGAAAACACTGTGGGTTTCTTACTGCAAGTGACCCCATCACTTTACATCACAATTTAACTTAAATTTCATATATTGTTGATGAATGCATCTTTAAAAGTCAAATTTTAAAAAATGTGTATTTTCTTGTTCTTTCAGATAATCAAAGAAAAGTGACCAGCAGCCTCTGTCATCATCATCAGTCTGCACTAGTGTCTTTTTTTTATGCTTTTCTAAGAGTCTTTTTAAAGTTTCATTATAATAATACAGCAAGTCAAGGGACAAACATTTGCTGGTGGGTTTAACTTCTTAACTTGCGTTCATGTTATTCACATATCAGCTTCAGAGAAATGGCGTTACTTTAATAGCAACTTTTAAAAAATCAGAAAGCACACACACAAAAACAAGATATAAAAATCTGTTGACAAAAAGCTTTACCAGCTTGGTTCCCTGGAAAGCAACATGCCACTTTTTATTCGTTAAACTCACACTCTGCATACTGAAAACTTCCCCACCCACTGGTTTGTGATATAGACACTGCGTTTGGGTTTCTCAGTTGATCATTAGAGCCATGGTGACACAGTTTGCTGTCTAGCACCAAATCTTAAAGCGTGCTACAAACACCCAGCACTTCCTGTTTTCTGAACAGATGTATCAGGAATGTAAACATTAACTCTTTGTATATTACATTTAGTTTTGTGCTTATCTGTTGTGATTGCCTCATCATTGCTTGACTGGTAATGTGTTTGTCCTCTACAGGGGAACATATGTACAAACCTCCATTCACTATACTCTAGTTTCATAAATGTTTAACAGTCCCAGATATACACTTTCTTTTTTATTCAGCTGCCTTACCTTTTTTGGACATTGGTTAACTGCCATGGATGTTTTTATTTCTTTTTTTACAAACTGCCCACTCTCAATAGTCATTCAGCCGTGTCAGCCAGATGGTGGTGCTTTAAGACTGCTTTAGAGCAGTTGGCATCATCGAAGAGTGGAAGTGAAACAAGAATGGGAGACAAACTGTGGATCAATTAAGCGTGACGGAAAGTTCCCCTCGACAACAAGAAAGCTCAAGTTTAAGCATGTACTAGAAAACAAAAAAAACAAATGTCTGAGCCACTGTTTGTACATCTTTAAGTATTTTTGCATTGCATTAAAATGCTCATTGCTTGTGTGTCTAGCTGCCAAAACATAATAAAGTATAACTTAAGAGTGACCTCTGTAAAAACTGTAATGATATCATGTAAGGATAAAAGCCTTACAACATGATTGATTCATTGCAGTAGATCTAAGTTTAAACTACACAACCATACAATTTACACAAGCTTAACATCTACAGCAGTAAAATGCAACGAACACATTAATGTAGCAGCAATCTTGGACCCATCTGCTTGGACCCACAACAATGAAAATTGTAGCTGCTGCGCAGGAATGGTCAGGGCCGGGCAATTTTAGGCAAAATTAGGCAATTCTGAGCAACACACACACTACAAACACTGAAACAAAGCATATCACAACATATAGAAGTTACATCATATAATTATGGCATGCCCTTCAAATTGTGGATGAGTGGCTGAAGTGATCAGACTCATAATATACAAAGGAAAGAAAAAACTCAAGAACAAGAAAGTAAGAATAACATCAATCAATATCCTTTATTTAACCAGGTAAAAACTCATTGAGATTTAAAACCTCTTTTCCAAGAGTGACCTGGCCAAGACGGAAGCACAAAAGCAAAATGGTTACACCAAACACACAAGATACAAATAAAATACGATCACACACTACAGGAAAACCAGAGTGGGATTACATGATTACACAGTGCAATCACAAGATCCAATTGTCTTTTATAATTGTCTTGAATTCCCCCAGAGTTACAAGATGTGTCTGTTTCAAGTCCTTCTGCACATTGTTCCAGGCAGACGGGGCAGAGAATTTAAAAGCCTTTTTGCCCAGTTCAGTTCTGACTCTCGGGACCTGCATCTGTATGATGTCCTGAGAGCTCAGGCCAAATCGGCTGAGGTTTCTACACATGTGTAAACACAAATATGTAGGCAGAAGTCCAAGAATAGATTTATAAATAAAAGTTATTATTAACTGCTAGCAATTATGAACAAACGGGCCTGATCTAGCTTAAAGCTAAACATTATCCATGGTGACAAAGATGAAAACATTTTTTAAAATGTAAAAGTAGCTATTGGATAGACTCTGCATATTGACCGATAGCTAAGCCAAATAAACAGGGAAAGAGACAAGGGATAACAGGGAAAAGTGTTGATAAAGAGTATTTGTCTCTCGGCAAAACTACCTGGATCATAATTATTTTAACCCTGGTAGTCTCTAATTCACATAGCATGATGCCTGAACATAGGACTTTCACATTAGAATGTCCATTCTGCCTTAGCTGAGGCTTGAACTCACAACTTCTGAGACTGAGGGCCGTCTTATATCTCACTGACCTAATTGGCAAGTGACAGTTCATGTGTGGCTTCAGAAATTGACTAAGCCAAGCATCAGGGTGCCAGACAGTAGCCATCCATGCCATGGAAAAGCAAATTTCAAAGTCAAAGTTCCATAGCTGTAGCACAAATGGTTGATTTGTTATGAATTTTCAAAGTTTTGAAATTTAGAGGCTTGCTGTAGCGCCACCATCAGGACTATTGTCTTGTGTTTCCAGTTGAGGACATCTGGCATGGGACTGGACCTTTATGAAAAGTTTGGGTAGGTTCTCATATGGAAATGTTGCACAAGCTGAGGATTGAACTCACAATCTTCAACACCAAGAGCCATCCTCTATCTCACTGAGCTACTTGGCAAACAGAAATGTCACTTGTAGCTTCACAAATTGACTAAGCCAGTCGCCTGTGTGCAAGACAGCAGCTGTTAGTGTGTAAAGGCAGATTTCAAACTGTTGTCAAAAATTCAGTTATTAAGACAAAAATCCGAAAATACACTAATTGCATCTAGACAGCATGGAGATGTTGGTAATTTGTTTTTAACAGTGATTTATTGGCTCCATAAGTGGAAAACTGATGTTTAAAAATGACATTTTTGCATTGACTCCAATTGTTTGCATGAGAGCGAAATTCAAAATGCTGTAAAAAAATTCAGTTTTTGAGATAAAATTTGGATATTTTCCAAACATCATCTACCATGACTCCAAAATTTTGTCATTTTTTAAATAAACATTGAAAATGTATTTTGCAAGAATTTGCAAGTATATGTTTACAATACTGTTTACAGTCAAACATTTTGATGCACTGTAGGCTCAATTTTCAATAAATCAAAAATCTGTGTGGATCGTTTGTGTAGGACAGTCTGAAGATGCTCTGTAGCAAGTTTGGTGTCAATTGAGCAAAAATTGTGGGAGNACAAAGCTACCAATAGTTCTGCCAGTATTAGATAACTAATGCTACTTACCCATAACAGAAACTAATGCGCAAATGTCAGCTTGTATCACACGTATCTTGCTATGTGTGTTATAACTCCGCATTACAGTGTATTGACGTCCGCAGGGGAGAGAGAGAGAGAGAGTTATGAAGATTTCCTGATAATGTTTTGTATGATAGGTGCTTGTGTGGGAACTGCCAGTCCATGTCCTCAGCTGTGGAGAGTATGTGCTGCAGGGAGGTGGATGCCTTCTGGGCTCTGGTGGAGAATCTGACCCCCAGGCCAGGAACATAATCCTCCTGTCCAAAATGAGCACTGCACACACCGCGTTTTTGGTCACAGATGAAGCTGTGAAATCGCGCCTCTTCACCTGCACAAAACACACCCAGGCACGAAAACTAACTAACCTAATCACAAATGATGAAATGCACTGTTAACAACCGAAAAAATACTAACTCACAAGTTTACTACCGCTCAGACTCACTACCACCTACTACTGCGCACTGGACAGAGGCAGGGTCAAGGACGCAGAGTTCCTTTTTCCTCTGAATTTGTGCCCTTATGTCATGTAAACCATAATAAATTCTGAATTAACTTCTCATATGGGAATTTTCAGACAAGGTTATGTATGTATTTTTAAAAAAATTTAACCTGCAAGTTGCACTTTAAAGGTGAAAACACTGTGGGTTTCTTACTGCAAGTGACCCCATCACTTTACATCACAATTTAACTTAAATTTCATATATTGTTGATGAATGCATCTTTAAANTGAAAACACTGTGGGTTTCTTACTGCAAGTGACCCCATCACTTTACATCACAATTTAACTTAAATTTCATATATTGTTGATGAATGCATCTTTAAAAGTCAAATTTTAAAAAATGTGTATTTTCTTGTTCTTTCAGATAATCAAAGAAAAGTGACCAGCAGCCTCTGTCATCATCATCACTGTCTGCTCCGGTGTCTTTTTTTTATGCTTTTCTAAGAGTCTTTTTAAAGTTTCATTATAATAATACAGCTTTTTTTTCCTGAAATTAAGTCAAGGGGCAAACATTTGCTGGTAGGTTTAATTTCTTAACTTGTGTTGATGTTAATCACATATCAGCTTCAGAGAAATGGCGTTACTTTAATAGCAACTTTTAAAAAATCAGAAAGCACACACACAAAAACAAGATATAAAAATCTGTTGACAAAAAGCTTTACCAGCTTGGTTCCCTGGAAAGCAACATGCCACTTTTTATTCGTTAAACTCACACTCTGCATACTGAAAACTTCCCCACCCACTGGTTTGTGATATAGACACTGCGTTTGGGTTTCTCAGTTGATCATTAGAGCCATGGTGACACAGTTTGCTGTCTAGCACCAAATCTTAAAGCGTGCTACAAACACCCAGCACTTCCTGTTTTCTGAACAGATGTATCAGGAATGTAAACATTAACTCTTTGTATATTACATTTAGTTTTGTGCTTATCTGTTGTGATTGCCTCATCATTGCTTGACTGGTAATGTGTTTGTCCTCTACAGGGGAACATATGTACAAACCTCCATTCACTATACTCTAGTTTCATAAATGTTTAACAGTCCCAGATATACACTTTCTTTTTTATTCAGCTGCCTTACCTTTTTTGGACATTGGTTAACTGCCATGGATGTTTTTATTTCTTTTTTTACAAACTGCCCACTCTCAATAGTCATTCAGCCGTGTCAGCCAGATGGTGGTGCTTTAAGACTGCTTTAGAGCAGTTGGCATCATCGAAGAGTGGAAGTGAAACAAGAATGGGAGACAAACTGTGGATCAATTAAGCGTGACGGAAAGTTCCCCTCGACAACAAGAAAGCTCAAGTTTAAGCATGTACTAGAAAACAAAAAAAACAAATGTCTGAGCCACTGTTTGTACATCTTTAAGTATTTTTGCATTGCATTAAAATGCTCATTGCTTGTGTGTCTAGCTGCCAAAACATAATAAAGTATAACTTAAGAGTGACCTCTGTAAAAACTGTAATGATATCATGTAAGGATAAAAGCCTTACAACATGATTGATTCATTGCAGTAGATCTAAGTTTAAACTACACAACCATACAATTTACACAAGCTTAACATCTACAGCAGTAAAATGCAACGAACACATTAATGTAGCAGCAATCTTGGACCCATCTGCTTGGACCCACAACAATGAAAATTGTAGCTGCTGCGCAGGAATGGTCAGGGCCGGGCAATTTTAGGCAAAATTAGGCAATTCTGAGCAACACACACACTACAAACACTGAAACAAAGCATATCACAACATATAGAAGTTACATCATATAATTATGGCATGCCCTTCAAATTGTGGATGAGTGGCTGAAGTGATCAGACTCATAATATACAAAGGAAAGAAAAAACTCAAGAACAAGAAAGTAAGAATAACATCAATCAATATCCTTTATTTAACCAGGTAAAAACTCATTGAGATTTAAAACCTCTTTTCCAAGAGTGACCTGGCCAAGACGGAAGCACAAAAGCAAAATGGTTACACCAAACACACAAGATACAAATAAAATACGATCACACACTACAGGAAAACCAGAGTGGGATTACATGATTACACAGTGCAATCACAAGATCCAATTGTCTTTTATAATTGTCTTGAATTCCCCCAGAGTTACAAGATGTGTCTGTTTCAAGTCCTTCTGCACATTGTTCCAGGCAGACGGGGCAGAGAATTTAAAAGCCTTTTTGCCCAGTTCAGTTCTGACTCTCGGGACCTGCATCTGTATGATGTCCTGAGAGCTCAGGCCAAATCGGCTGAGGTTTCTACACATGTGTAAACACAAATATGTAGGCAGAAGTCCAAGAAT